GTATCACGAGGTGGCGAAACAGTATTTGGCAACGCAACGATGCAGTCCTGGCTCTAAACATTACCAAGATTCTGTAGGCAGAACGATGCAGGCATTCCTTCTGTGTTTCCGAGGATTTGTCATCGCAACTTACCGCCCAGAGTAAACTTTTAAACCAGCAACTACGAAATTTTGAAAAGCACAGCAATTACGGTAGCTCGTTAGCAGGGATCTTCTGAGAACTGTGACGCCATCGCCGTTCGTCAATGTAAACACAGCGTTCCTGTTTGCTCCTTTCCCAAAGCAAAGTTAAGCGCTGTCTCACATATGTATGGATTGTGGGAGATGAGGGCCACAGCCACTAGATATATAAAAAAATTGTATAATAAATTTGGAATACTAAGAATTCTACTGGCCAGTGAGACGGCTGTGCTGAAGGGTGCAAGCCAACTTAAGCGATGACGGCTTTGTATTTCCTAGCATATAAAAATGCTGCCATATGAAAGAAGCTGCAATCGCATTCAAACTAGATCAGAAGATGCAATCTACCTCACTTGAGCCCTTCGATGTTCCGTCGCTGTTCCGCTGAGCCGCAACTGTTTGCCGCCCTATCTGCATTTCAGTTACAGGTTCGATTCTGTGCTCGTCTGAATGATTTGAACCTTAAAGACTCGCTGATTCTTTTTTCCTCAGGTACCTATAGCCTGAGCGGCCAGATATTGTTGGTTGTTCATAATTTTGTACAGTTCTACTGTTTGTCACTATTGTTTATTTGTATAGTCATATCTAGTATTGTTTTCTGTTAATAAATTGTCATATTTTTGTTATTGTTTATTACTCTTAGAAAGCGGCAGTGTTTAATGACCTTGGTCAATGAGTAAGTACTCCTTTCTGCTTCACGCATTTGAAGCTTATTGTTCGTTTATGAAATGAAAGTGTTGTTCATGGTCCATTGCCAATTCTTGTACACCGTTTGAACGTCCATGAAATTAATGGCTTCAGTGACAAGTTTTCCGTGAAGACTGTACACTACTTAAACTAGAGCACTTTGTTTTGACTATTTCATAAACGCAGTCATTCAGAGATTACTCGCTCTTAGGTTCACGATGGACGCAAGGTGTGTTACTACCTTTCATTCAAGATATGGCCCAGCAGTGATCCAGATTATGATCCAATCACAAGCGTTGCTCTCTTAGTGAAAAAAAGACATTTTATATCATGGAACAGGAACTCCTTAGCAGCAATATTTTTGCAAGCTGTGACTCCAAGATTGAGGCTGAGAGAAAGTGAGGGAACAATGCAAAAGGCAGATAAGTTATCATGATCACTGTTATCTTCTGTAACAGCAGAAGCCACGCAGCGGATAATACAACATGCCATCTACTGGTTAATCAGAGGACGACGGCAAATACAGCTGATACATAATCTCGAGTTCGTTAACATAAGAACGACTAAAGATGACTCAGCACATTAAGATAGCATGGTATAATCTTTCCTCTTCCAGTTCATTGTGGGACTGATTGAGTTAGCGAATGACTAACCACTTACTTTACACCTATATCTGTCCTTAGTTTTAAGCCACGCTTTTCATTTGTGTATGTCTGCATCACGCAACAGTCGTCTTTCCGTTTCATAAATTTTGTACTTTATTTTAATAATCGACAAATCGATCGATCTTCTAAATGCTAGACGAGACCCTTGTATTGAATATGTCCTAACATGATTTTCGCGCAGCTGTTAACCATATTTTCTGATACCAACTTCCTCAACTCATAACCAAGTGTGAGAGACTTCAGCGCTATCCCACTGTCTGGAATTGACTGAAGTGGAAGGTGATTTTTCACCGTAATTATAATACACCAGAAAAAAGTTAAAATTTTATCAATAAAATCTATGCAGTACATTCACTGAACATTTAAATCGCGTCTGAAGTTTTTCAGTCCATAAACACATAGTATCATTTTTGGAAAATCCGTGTTTCATTCATTTCTTGACTGCACGTTGTCAGCGTAGCATAATATTCGATGCTTCAAATCGAAATTTCATAATGTTATACTGGCTTTAGGTACTCTCATATTTAAATAGTGTTAGGATAGTATTTAACAGGTACTGTCACCTGTGCACTAAGTGAAGTTTCCAAGTTTCAAACACACTTTTGGCTATCTACGATAACAACAGGTTGTCAGAATTACTACGCTAGTAATGTAAATCCCATATGGAAAACAGTATATAACAAAGAAAGTTTCAGAAATCCGTACCGATTAAGCGTCATGAATTTAAAACAGAAGAATAGGGCAAAAAATAAGTTTCCTAAATCACTGCCTACAAACGGCATAGGCAAAAGGAGGGTTCATACTCAAGGATCTAAATTAGGATTCAGACCCTGTCGATAATAATTAAATTTTCAATCCCGGTCACGAACTAAATGTACGTGTACTTTATACCTCCACAGACAGTGATATGGAAGAGTTCTTCTTTCACAGAATAAAAGCTTTCTGAGACACCGCGTACACAGTACCAGATGATGTATCTATTGTTGTCTTAAAAAACCGCACCTTGAGCAGTTTATTCTATTTCATTCATCACCAAAGAGACCACGAGTATAAATGAACTGCTTGAACCTTCGAATCCTACATAGGTCTCCTGTAAGTTG